TGAAGATATGAATACATTATGATGAACATTAAGTGTGTTGATTTAGAGCAAAGAGTCATCAATCCATGTGCTTGTTGGATAAGAATTGAATGTGTTTGTTGAGAGAAAAAATCATCAGTTCATATGTTTGTTAGAATTATCCACCATGTCATCAATTCAATAGTGATGAAATGTTATATGCTTGAACTTGTTGATAAAATTCACATAGGAAAGAGTTGTGTTTCACCTTCAAATAAGCAATTCTTTTTAATCCCTAGTGTTACAACTATTTCTCAAATACATGAAGCTCCTTCTACAGGTCTTTGATGTCAAATTTTTTTATTTTCAGTGACATCAATTAAACATTAAGATGCAAGAAATGTAAATTGTGCTACCCATTATATTGATTTGGGAAAACATTGCTTGCAGCTGATTGAAATTGAGGTTCTAAACAAATTTAAAAATCTCAAACTATCAACTTTTAAATAATTTAGTATAAATATCAAAATATAACTTGTTTTATAGAAATTTTCATCCAATGATAAGATAAAAAAAATTCTGATTTTTTTGAAAAGGTGAAATGATTTTATAATTTTTATGAGGTATAACAATCAATTTTTCTAAAAAAACATAAATAACTATAATTTGAACAAGTATTTTTCAAAACTTGCTATCTTATATTGATCAAATATATGCATCAATAGAAAAAATGGATAATTTGTATCTTGATATTAAAAAAATTCCATATTATAATATATAATATTATTATAAATTAAAAAAATTAAAAAATTTTTTAATCAATCAAAAGGATATTATGAAAATGTAATTGGATTAATAAAAATTTAATAAAAATAATTAGAAAACATGTATTAATTGATCCACATAAAATTTAAATTTTTTTAATATAATTATAATAATAATAAAATTGCAAACAAAAACTCAATTTAAGTTATAAAATACATCATATAATCAAATTTGATGAAAAAAATTCTCCATAAAAAGATTGAAATTAAGATAGATCATACTACTTTTCTTTTTTTTGAATAGAGTTGAAATTTTGTTAATAATATCATAATATATCATAATTGATTGAATCTAATTGATTGAAAATAAGATACTTAATCTTCAGCAAAATTTTGTTAAAGTGATGTTTAAGAGGTTATTTAATAAATGAAAAATTTAAAATGTTATTACCTTAGAAAAAAACTCTTATATAAGATTAACCAAAATTTTTAATCATGAAATAGAACAAATTATATTTTTATAAGTTCATGAAAATTATACAACCTTAAACATCTTTTTATGATGTTGTGTATTCATCAAAATCAAAAATATAATTAAAATTTTCTCTTTATTGTTATATATTAAAATGCAAAAACAGATTTAAAATATAATTTAAAATATTTTGTTTTGATAAGCCCAAAGAATTTTTATTTATAAGTTCAAAACATAAAATTATTCTAAATCAATCAAAATTTTGAATAGAAGGATTGAATAAAATTTGAATGATGGATGCATATCTTTAAATTCAAATTGGTTAGCTATAATTTGAAGTATTAACTTTGAGGGCTGATACTCCCACCCTCCTCATTTACTTTTTCCATCCTCATACTTCTCCGGTGCCAAAAAATGGTGAAAACGGAGATGAACACTGATTCCTAACTACTGGGCAAATACTAATATCGTGTCCAGACCTCCTATATTCCTTGCAAAAACATTGAGCTCTTCCAATTGTCTCAAAGGCGACTTCTGCGACACCTTTCTGATTTTTCTCCATTCCTTCTATCGCCTTGTCATGAACTCCACTCCCGATGCCACATACCACAATTTCGATGTCTTGAAGTTTGTGTGTGTACAGCATGTTGTCGCTCACCTCTATGGCGTCACCATCAAGCAATACGATTACAAGATGAGTGTCATATTGCTGCATTGCGACAAGTCTTATACAAGCGATGATTGCCATGATCTAACAGAATAGACATGTCATCGCCCTTCGAACTCGGTCCTGACTGGCTTCCTCTTGTTTCTGCAAGGCCGTCGTAATCAAGTCATGAGCTAAACGTTACGTGTGAAATGTGAAGAGCACAATCATCCGTCATTGACTCGTGAAGCTGCGCATCCGTCTCATTTCAAAATGATTAACGATGTAAAAGAACACATTCGCATTTTGTCCGCCGTTGGTGTTGCGTCTGCTCGGATCCGGACGTTGATACTTTTGGAACCCTCAAGAAAGCATGTCATTGCGCACGACATATACAACTTGAAGAGTCAGCTCAGAATCGAGCGGCTTGACGGCTTGAATGCCAATTGAGGCTTTGCTCTTGTTCTTGATGAACTGCATGTATCCAACATTCATTGTGTTGATGCTAGCGTATGTCTAACATGTCTCTTCTTCACGAGCACCAAGGCTGCACAACTTATTCATCGCTTTGGAATGTTATTGATCATGGACTGCACCTACAAAACTAACAGATTCAAGATGCCTCTACTTCACATTGTTAGTTTTGTTTGCACTTAAACAACTTTCACATCAGACATTGCATTTCTCAGTGAAGAGACAATCGAGGACTATGAATCGTCAATAGCAGTCTTTAACGGTTTCTAGTGCTCGCCATTGTTACTAATCGCAAGTTGTCGTTGATGCAAATGTCCAAGATTTGTTTTCCTTCGCCCACAAGATACTATGTCGATGACATGTCAGTAAGAACGTGATGGCAAAGCATCAGACAAGCTTCACCAAGGAGTACTTACAAGCGTTCATGACGTTGTTCTCGGGTGTGATGCGAACGGACAAGGAGTACGAGATGCATGAGAAGCTGGTGCATATTCAAACGGAGTGAATGGATATTCAGTCGTGTGCTGTGAAGTATGTGTTTTTGTGGATGCAATACAAGACATACTTTGTCAGTGCATAAGTTGACAAAATATCGCATTTTGAGTCATCATCCTCGTCACGTGTGAAGACGCACGTTCAACGTGGAAGACGCACGTTCAGCGTTGAAGCAGCGCCTGCAGGTTTGCACCGATGACATGATGACTGTGTTCGAACGTGTACTGCAATTTCTTGTCGATCAATATCAAGAAATTGATAGTGTCATTTCACAACAGAAGGAGTGACACAATCTTGTTTCCTCAGATATATTATATGACCAGGTGTGTAGAGCTTACTACTTATGTTGTGAACTAGGTTGGAGGTCAAAGAGTTTGGTTCGAGTATTTTTTTTTAGTCAAATTCTATTGGACTCTTTACTTAAACTGCTGTATTATTTTTCTATATTTACAGTTAACTGCGTATCCTCATAAGTGATCCGAAAAGTCTCTTCAATTGCTCTCATCAAGATACATCTTTAATTTACAATCGCCAAAGAGCATGCGCGGCGCAAAGTCCATCCGCAACCAAACCCTGTTTCGAGATTGTTATCGGACTTCCTTCAGCGACCACAATTTACAATCTGCGTGTTGCAATCCAAATCGTATCGATGATTGCGCTACACAAGCAATGGTGGTTTGCGCTAAATCTTCAAGTTGATGCACCTGCAATACAGATTCTTGATATTGTCATTGTCCGTATACGCGGACGCCCATCCGTTGATGTTGTCAATGCGTGTGCCACAAGCCGTCGGCCACTATCATCACCTCGTCGGGAACCAAGCGCATTTGAGACAATTGGGAGAGCCTCGAATCTTTGCAAGGAATGTAGGAGGTCTAGACACGACGTTTGTAATTGTGCAATACTATAAGATCGGTGCGTGTTGATTTTGTTTTCACCGTTTTCTGACGCTAGAGAAATTTAGAAAGGTTTAAGGGAAGGGGAGAGGATGGGTGGATAAGTAAATCAGGAGAATGGGAGTATCATAACCTTAACTTTTATACATTGCAATTCTAGTGAATTTTTCTTTAGATTTTTCTAATAACTTTCTATCATTTTTTGTATGTTAATTTTCATCATAAAACTCATAAAAATCACTTCAACGTAATTTTTGAAGAAATCCAAAATACAAAAAAATACATGATTCTATATAAGTAAAATAGAAATAGATTTTTATAGATAATTTTAGTTTTTGTTTTTATTATCACTTGAAATCTAGTAAACTCTACATTATTAAGCCATATATATGAGGATTTAACTTAAAAATTCTATAGTCTTATATATAATCATATAGACGGTTGAGTCTAAAGACTTCAAGATATGATGCAAGTAAAAAACAATCAAAAATCAAGTAAAGTTTTCATTAACTTGAGGTAATTTGACTATGATTAAATAAATTATGTTAGCTACTTATACATAGAGATACTATTGAAAGCTTTTTTTGACACAAGTAATGAAATTTTAGTAAATATATACTCATTAAGATACAAATCACATATATATGTTGTATTATGATTTTGATTAAAAGTATAAAATCTCATCAAAATTTTACGTTTGACATGTAATAAGTTGGCTTAGTTGGAAAATTATGGTCAAAGTTATGTGAATCTTTTAAGTAAATTTTTGTAACATATATGATATCTTGAATACATCTATCATCAAGTTTTGCACTGAAAGTAAAAGTTTACATCTTTAGATTCTTCATAAAAAAATCATGGCAAGAATGATATATAAACTAATGTGCATAAAAATTTTGCTAACATGTATAACATCATTTCAAAATCTGCAAATGTGTAATATTATGAAAACATAGCCTCTAACTTGCATTCATGTTCTATATTGACATACAATCAAGCTAGTGGATACAAGCATTGAAGTTTATATCAAATGTCAAAATTAATTGCATAAAAAGCAAGATTTGATGATTCATCAAATTTATGAATTTCATCAACGATTTATTAGAACATTTACTGATTATGTGTGAATCCCAAAAGAATCGGAATTTTTTGAGATATTATTATATAAAGTGGCATTCCGATTAAAAATATAGAAATCAGAAATTTCAGTCGCTTGATCCATCAGTTTTCTTCTAGTTTTGTTTTAAAGATTTTGAATTGCATCGGGACATAAGAAATCTCTTCTCATCCAACTGGCGTTTTTTATATTAACAAAATCATACAGGTAGTATATTCTCGACAAGTCAAGAAGCTATACGAAGCATAGAACTAATGCCTCTTTATGTGGGCCTGAATATTTGATGGCTTCAAGATTTCCTTCATTCATGCACATTAAAGTGTTCATAAAATGGCTTCTGGACTATATACCTTTAACTTCACTGTGGAGCATGAAGTGGTCGCCCTATTTTTTAGTTCACTTTGGGTCAACAAGTGGTATCTCATTTAGACATGCGCAAACAAAACTAACGGGGGTTAAATTAGAAAAGAATATGGAAAAACCTGGAAATCTTCCTTAACATCCCCTGACTCTACTTGAGAGGAAAAGTAGTCGCGCAAGTCATGTAATAGTCGCATTTCAGCCTGACAATGTTTTTTCATAGGAGGCAAAGTACAAATGTATTCATGAGGGACTAAACATACTGCTACTGCTACAACTTGGCCTACTGGCCAAAACACGATCTGACCAAAGCGCTGTTGGCAGATCGTACTCGCACAGACCACTTTCATTTTTTGAAATTACCTAGGCTTATGAATCAAGAGGTCTAGATCTAGTCCTTGTCTCTTTCTATGACTTGTAACCAGGACGACTATGACACCGTATTGGTAATCCCCATATCCTAGGTTGGTTCTTACACTAATCGCCAAATTACCTTTAGAATGCGACGGTCAAAGATTGGTCTTACGATTTTTTTATATTAAACAACCCAGACTGTTTTGTTAAAAGATGTGCCTTTGGTGTAGTGCCCAAGAGCTATCATCAGCATGATGTAAGGTATTCACTTAGAATTGCAAACTTCGAATTTATTTAACATTACCTCTAGGCCCTCGATATGCACTGCCCTGCCCAACCATCAAGTAGGCTAGTGGATGCATTATGTATCATATTGTCTACTGCACAGCAAGTGAAGAATTGTACATTATCCACGGCAACATGAGGTAAGATATAAGCATGCCACACGAGGAGACTCATTCACACGCAGGACCTTACGATCTAAACTTGACCCTGTGTCTTTCGTGGTGAGCACAAGTAACATGGTAGAAGCAAAAGTTACTAACTGCGAGTTAAATCAGTAATTAGCGTCAACTTTTGCTCGAACCGGACAATAGAACTCATCTCGTGGTGGGCAGTGGTCATAGCGCCAATTTCACCTGTCTTCGTGTCATGCTTCAGTTCAAGTTTCCGATGCACTTCTAGAAGACGGAGGGAGTTCGATAAGAAAACTTAGTGTGTAAGTTATGTGAAGTTTTCCTACGCGGTCAAGGAAGGTCAATGTCCCCCATTCATTCCCAAGGGACTCTGCAGTTCGTCCGCTTCTTGTTCTGTTCTGTCATGTTAGAAGATATTTGAGAGGGTGATAGTGGGCATGAGCGACAGCTGAATACTGCGGGGAGAGATTTTCTTAAAAGGCAGGGGCTAGGGCATTCGATAATAAAACATGGGGAAAGGTGAGACCCTAGATACTCGACCTATTTTGATGACGAGAGCTTTCATAGTGAACTATTAGTTGCTTTCTCGTCGCCACCCTACAGAGTGTCCTCTAGTGCCAGCAAACGCCCACCCCACTTCAAAGCAATGGTGATCGGATCTTGTTGGAGCTTTTGTCAATACCAAATGAGAGCTTTTGGTAGTCAGGACGGTGTGATGTTGAGTGGCTCCAATACTGTCACAACTCAGTCATATTTCAGAAAAACCTGGAGCAGAGGGACCTTTCACCCCAACCCTATATGCCAACCGCATCCACGTAGGTTGCACTTTTCTGTGTCCAATAAGAGCAGATAGGGCATATGCGCAGCATCTAGAACTGGGAGAAACCATATATAAAATGGCCAGGATTGCAGAGCTGGAAGCAGCCTTGGGTCTTAGAAATCGTGAGAAGTAGGCATACCTTGGGCTACACAGTTTCTCTGGAGAGTAAAGAGGGCAACGGAGGTAGTCGGGATAATTAGTATCTTACCCAAGTCTGTCGTTACCTCAGAATGAGATACTGTGAAGGGTCATCTTTCACCTTAAGCTGACGTTGCAAAAACTGTCTGCTAACAGGCAAGACTGGGACTACAAACCGGTCCAGTGGTCACAGAAAAAGTGTTTCCTTTATTGGCGACAGAGTACGCTGTATTCCACTCCCTAAGATTTTACTAGATATCCCGAGGATGGAGCACACTTAAATTGAATGGCACACCGAAGGCAAAGATGATATAGAATGGCACAACGCTACATGTTGACACAGCCGTAACTGCTCCTTCGAGGCAAGGCAATTGGCTTGAAGTAACGAGTATGTGATGGTCTGAAATAATCTGAACACAAACTGTCTGCGATTACTAAAAGACCTTAGGGTGACCAAGAGAGAGGTTCTGTATGGAGCAAAGGTCTGCTCCATTCTTTAACTCACTCCGAAGTCAATGTATGTGCCTCGTTGGTCCGTAGGTTTAACAGCGGAGTCCAAAGACCAGCAAAAAAGTTTCCCAGCAAGAATATCAGGAGGTCTTTAAGAAATTGGGAGTGTCAGCTGATGAAGAGGTATGACCAATCCACGGCCCGTCGATAATAAATTGGGGATCAGTGAAGGCAGTTTGTTTGGGCCACGGAAATGATGTTACTAGATCTTTCAGAAGACATAGAGCTAGACTCAAGAGGCTGCAAACACGGTTTTGCTCCGACATCTATTTCCATAATAATGTCGAGAGCTTCATTACAAAAGCAGATGTTATACACTGGCCTGCTGCGTACTCGCATCAATGAGAGGGGGTTGAAATGGGCATAAGAACTTTCTGACGTTGACAATGCTAACGATGGGTAAATGTACTTACGTTTGAAAGTACCTATAGGTGATTCATTAGGATTCAATAAATTTATGGCACTTAATCCAAAAGTTTGAAAAGTTCGATATTAGCTTTTTGAATCTGCAAAACACGATTCAAAGAATTAGAATAAAATAGCTGAACGCATTTTCAAACTCAAGCCCAAACAGTACTCACTTCGTACAGACGAACTGACCTTCTTATAGAGGGCATTATCAGAGCCTTGGTCTTGTGAATTGTCTATTTCCAAGTGAAGAACTTTCAGTTGGGCCTCCAGTGAGTCGTTTTCCTTCTGTGCCTGTTCAATATCACTACGTGAGGGCGTTGCAGAAGCACGTTTGGTAAAAACCAACAGACTCAAATAGTGTTGCTAATGCTTTGCTAATCCAAGAAACTCTCTCGATGTCACTTTCTTCAGCGCGTTCTAGGAACTGTTATGAAGGATTGGGGTCCAGAATAAATACCAATCCTAATCTCCTCTTTACTTCCTCCATTTCTTGCAACTTTCTCCTCACCGCTACTTCTTTCACGACCTTCTCTGGGTGAATGTGATCACTGGATTCAAAACAATGGTCAGTCTCTTGTGGCATCACCAACGACAGATCTGAACGAAACGACAGTAACACCAAGAAGTGTATGTACAGACTCGTACCCGGCACCATCGGCACTGATGAGAGCTCTGTCGGATACATGATCCAGAACCTCGTAAACCTGAACAAGCATCACGGATTACTCAACACCAGCCTTCAAGATATCAAGAAATTCAGACAACTGGCAAGGATCTCAAAGGTTCCGTAAAAGGTCACTCATAAATCACAAGAGATATACAAGGAGTCATCAGCGAATCGGGTGATGTAAACTCCTGAAGTTGTGAAGTTTGCACAGGACACCTTTCAGAAGATGATCACATAAGACAAACACGGATAGATATGGCAAGAAAAGCTTGTTCTTCAGGTGTTCCGTAAGAGGTATTCAAGTAAACACTAGTTTGGTGTGCACAGGTAGCTAGCGTATAACATTTTCACATTTGGCTCAACAGAGGTACAGGAAAGAAATTGGAGCAACTTCACCCTGAACAGATCGTAGTAAGTAGGCATAGGATTCATATTAGTTCCACGGTTCTGAGACTTCGTGCGTCAAATTCAGCACATCTTTCCACATCTAGGTCTCTCTACTTCTTAACGAAGAGAAGTCGGATTTAGAAAAACAACAACAACAACAGTCTGCTAGTCAATGATCAAAGCTTTGTGTATAAAAAAGGTGGATTCCTCAAGGCTCGAACTCTGAAGTTGTAGTGAAAACACATTCAGGAAACATACCTGGTGCTCCTTGCAGATGGAGTCAAATTCAGCCTGCAAAGAACCAGATTCAGTGTCAATAAATAGGCGTTTTCTTAAACGATCTCAGCATGTCTAAGAAGTTCATATCTGGGCATTTAGGCCATTAAGCTACGTAACTTTTGACAACACGTCACTTTTCCCAATCAAACTTTTCCAGAAAGTTGAAACCCATGAAAAATCGGTAAAAACTAATAGATCAAAGGAGAGCACTACGCGCACTTGGTTGCGGCACACAAGTTATGTTGTCAAAGTATTCTACTTACGATGACGTTTTCACGAATTTGTGCTCCCACCTGATCAACAGTACAGAGAGTATAAAATTACTTCCCACATCCTCCTGAACCTTAAGTAAAAAAAAGCAGGAAAATATCTGGTAGATCCAAATACCATCTACGAGAGGTAATGTGGAACCAGAACAGGAAACTCCAACTAGTTCGAAGTTCGTAGCCAAAATGTGCTTGCTACAGAAGGAGGCATCTTTGCAGTCGAAGATGAAAGTCAGTAAAGGACGATGAAGTTTTAACTTACGAGAGCGTAGACCTTGTAAAGGTACTCCTGTGTTTGTGGTTCGAAATGCGAGAAGTAGCCCACAACCTCCTGTAACATCTCAACGTAGTGCAGCTTCAAGTTTGAGAAATTGACAGACAAAAACTTCAAAGTGTTCAATCAGTTAGAATCAATATATACGGACCATGAATATACTTATCGTTTACAATTCTTAAAACAGACCTTGTATAAATTCTGTTCGTGATCGGGTTGAGATTACGAATACGTAGGTGAAGACCTTAAGCAGAAGTTGCAAAAAAGGCCCGTCTCAACGTCTCAATGATCTGGATACCTCTCAAATTTGTAATAAAGATATTATTGGGTACAGAGACTCTTGGTGATCTTGGCCCACACGCAACACTATACCTTCGCTTGGTCTGCAACTAAAGATTCTCAAGGGATGGGTTCACTAACATTACTTCAGCCTAATTCGAGCATACAGACCTCGAAAGCGGCTTCAGAAGCCACATAGAGGTCCACACAATGTTCAAAACTCCTTGCACGGAGAATGGAAGCTACCTACATAGTGCTAGAATTGAAGGGAGAACCCACTGACCTTCCGAGTACAGGAAGTGAGCAGAGCATGCATCGCCTGTGAAAAGTGCCTGTTAAAAGTTTGACACCTCAGGGATAATTCAGGCTCCTGCCGTCCTTCCATGAGCACTTGCTGCCGGTCTGGCCCAGTTACCAGTGTGGCAAAATTCGGATTCCAATCACACGCCGAAACATAGAAAGAGCAGGAAAAAACTTTCAAAAACTAATCCCGCTGAAGGAGAAACTCGCGCTTCTCGACGATGCGCCTCGAGTACGATCTCTCTGCAAGCTCCTCTCGCGGGTCCTTCACAAATGCTCGACAGTTCCCGTCGTGGTCAACGCCTGCAGATTCTTCGCATGCTCGAAGCTCCACCTGCTTCTGTCCTGTGCTGTCCTGTCGTCGCTCCCTCGAGCGCTGAGCGCAACGATCAAGAGGAAGGCCCGGGTTCAAACGAGAACTTTAAATTGCCCCGCACCGCGCCCATTTTCATTCGAGCTCTTCGGTACGAAGTCCTCCGAGGCAGAGACATATAATGTAGTGCTATATGGAATCTGAACTCCTATTACGAAGAAATATAATTGCAATTATTTTAGAATTTGATCACTTGTAAGAATTAGTTCAAATCCTAAAATTGTATAATTTCAGTTTCGAAATCAAGTGAATAACATATTTTGAAAACTTAACCATTTTGAAATAAGCGACAACATTGTCGACAAATAAGCGACATGACTTATCTGTCATGTGTTATGTAATATACACACCCAAATGTCTAAAAATACAAACACATGTATTTCCTATATACATGCAGGTTTCTGTTAGGATACAACTTGTGCTGCTTATATTGATATCCCTTCTCATGCTCTTGTTATTATCCAATTGGCCTCCTTATCTGATATACTATAATTTTCTAGTAGAAATAAGATGTGAATTTTAGATAGTCAAATTTTATTACAGACATATTCAGACTCAACATCATGCAAACATTCATCGATTTCTTCAACTAGCATGATATATGTCTTTTCATCAAACTACCTCTAATTATCACTTCAATTTTGATTTTTGTGAACAAATAACATATTTGAAATCATTTTTTGTGCTCACAACACTTTACAATGTTATATGATATTGTACTTTAGCATAGTTAAGGTCAACTTTATCTCATGATAGAGTAAAAAAGAGTAAAGTTGCCACCATATATTATATTTATGAATTAAAAGTAGTAACATCTGACATATCCATCTAAAATTGTAATGTCTACAAATTTAACCTTTTTTATTCCATTTTGATATTCCATATTAGATGATCAGCATAAAACAATGAAAATACCTAACAATAAATATAGTCATAAAAACATGATACAAATAGTAACATCACGAGACAAATTATTGAATCTCAAATGTGTAACTGATTCTGGTGAGAATACATTTATAGTACACATTATTGTACTCAACAAAAAATTTGTGCTACATATCTATTTCCATTGCTTTTATAATTGAATTGCAAGCATGATATGAAAACTAAGTAGAATAAATCGACATCTAAATTAATCACGTACAACTGTTATAGATATTTTGCATAAAATAGTGCTGTATAGAGTGAAATTACTACATTATATATACATATAAACAAATCAATCTAGAAAAGTAAAATTTCATAATATCTATCACAACACTTTCTATAAACATTTTGTTAGCGTTAACCAAAAATCATAAACACACAATCAATTGACAGTAAACATACAATAGGACACCAAGATATAATGTGGTCCACCACAAAGGGCTACGCTCCGAGGGAAGTGCATGCGTGAGAGTGTATTGAATTTCCAAAGTATTACACAAGTCTAAAGTTATAAATATCCTAGCATCCGCAAACTTCTTACATATTTTTAGCTAGGTTACTCCTTAGCCGTAGTTATACTCAACACATGTTAGAGTTGTGTAAGTACTTTATATACTTTTAGATAATGAAATAAACATTGAATATTAGATATATATCTCCAAGTTCATATGTATTTATTTTATAAATAAAATCCTGATATTACATATGAATATTAACAAATTATATTTTTTATAAACAACAATGACTTTAATATATATTATCACATATTTTTTATCTATACATATCATTCAAAATGAACAAATTATAACATATAAAAAAACTATAACTAACATGTATAATTTTTTTAAAAAAATCATTTCATAGTGCATTTTCAAGAAATTTTCATAACAAAATTTATAATTATATATTTTTATCTTTTTAAAATTTATTTTTTTATGAACTTCCTTTTAGAAGTAGATAGATTATCTATCATATATATTTTTATAATCAAATATCATATAAAGTAGATTATGATCACCATAATTTTTGAACAAATAAGTTCAATGTTATATTTATATTTATTATTTTTTTAGAATATTACTTCATATTTACAAATGTTCATGCTAACTTTTGAATTTTAACATTTTATAAATGAAAATAAAAAATCTACAAAATATAATTTTAATATCAAATAACATATCAAATAATGTTACGCAAATATTCACAAGAACATTGACTATTTCAAGAAACATGTATGTGGATCAGTATGTGGGTCTTCTTTTGAAGTTTTTTTTCCACGGAAACACAACAAATTACTCTCAAAAAATTTGATGCTCTATTATGTGGCGAGCAAGTACTTGCCCATCTTTGTAGTTCAAACAACAAAAACACAAAAACCTGGAAAATCCAGATTTTACAACAGCAACATAAAACGAATTTAAAAATATATAATGTAATTACCATAAATTAATTTTTGATTATAAATCCCATTGAATATTTTGATTGTTTTTTCAAAGATCAATTCATATTTATAAATATTTTTCATATTTTTCAAATTACAAATTTTTTATCAAGTAAAATCAAAACCTACAATACATTCATTAAATGAGTTTTCACTCAATCTTACTAATAATCTATGTTTTACTTGAAATTTCTAAATTTCAAATGAATTTTTTTCTAAAAAATAATATATGATTACTCCCAAGATTATTCAATTTGAATAAAAAATTTCAGATTAATTATTAATAACTCACAGATTTTCATGCTAAATGTTGATTTTTTTCATATTGGAATTTAATTAATTGTAAAACATCTGTTGCATATTTTATCAATCTGTGCAAAATCAAATCATGTACACATTAGTAAATCAACTACATTTTTCTCGATAAATGAAAATCAAACATATAAATTTGAAAAATATATATGGAAAAAAATATTAATGAATGACATGTCTTTGATCTAAAATTAAAAAAGACATGAGTTCATTCGTCTTTTTCCATTCAAAGGAAATTATTGTAGTATAAAGTTTGAACCTACGATGCATAAATAATATAATTTATAATTATAACATATATATATATTGAATTATAGGAAATTTATATAATTATATACTCTAACAAACATAAATTAAATTTCGTATTTCTTTTTTGTCATAGCAAATAACAACAACATTTATTCCTTCTTATGATATGCTTAATATTCAAATAGATTAATTTATGATCACTAATGTGTATGGAAAACCTAAAACCTAAATTTGTGCATTTTACATTACATTAAAAGTATGTATCAAATAAATTCCTGCATACATTTATTTTCAAAAATGTTGAATAACACATTTATTTATAAATATTATGTTGGATGATATGTTATGTTTTTCTATTTTGTACAATCATCATTTAAAGATGCATTGTTAAAATTATATGAATTTATATTCAATAAAAAAAAGTTAACATCAAACTCACAAACACGTCAACTTATAATTAAAAGAAAAATTAATGGTTTACAAAAATTTCAATTAGGTGAGAATGTCTGCCTATCTTCAAGGAGTTTTTCTAAGCTTTTGGAGGTTCCATACCCAAAAACGAAAATGTAATATTGAAAAAAATCCTAAAATCACTGAGAGATTTCGCAAGCTTTTTATATCATTGCAATTTAACAAATTGTGCAAATTAGGTCAACACTAACTTGAATCAACTAAAAATCTACATTAACTTTTACAATCTCCTATTTAACTCAAGTTAGAATAACATAAACTTCAACATTTATATAATCATTAATTGAAAATTTCTATAAAGAAATTGAGCATAGGCTTTGATCTAACTAGTGATAACTCGAAGTAAACTGCAACCAAGATATATATGAGGTAAGAAAATTATTAATGAACTTCACCTTAATTTTATTACATGTTACATAACTTGCAAAATGGTTGAATGTTTACTTGAATTTTTTTAAGTAATAAGCTCGATGTACATATCAGTTCAATTGGGTTTATCATCAATCATGATTAGCTTAATTAAGTTATCGGAGTTTTGATTTGCAGTGTCCATCATTTGCTTTGCAGCAAGATGTAAAGGATTTTAACAATTCCAATCAAAACTGAAAACTTTTTGTTTCAACCATGTCTTAATATTAATTACATTATATAAAAAAGTTGTATTATCAGATTTTAATGAGATTCCATAATATGACTCAATTGTGAATTGAACTATGCATTTATGCAAAACATATGTATCTTTGGATTTTAATTTGCTCAAATTTTGTTTGTAAAGAACATCAACATAGCCTAGCAAAGATTTGAAATTGTACAATAAGTCATCAAACAAATATTATAGTTTTTAACTCTTCAACTACATAAGATTTTATTTCACATATTCTCAGTGAATTCTCTTGGATTTGACATGAACTTGCGTTTCTTGTCCATAGAGAAAATAATATAAATTATCACATATTGAATCACATGCATGATGTCCCAAGCTAAACATCAAATACATGAAGTATTGAATGCTCTGTAATAGAAAATTGATAAAAGAAAAAATTCATTGACAAAAAGTTTAAAATGTGCCTGCAATAATACTTATAATATTTTAATATTTTTTTGTGATAAAATTGTCAAACAAACTTACAATGTACTTATCTTTATATAAGTATGACATTTTATTTTCTTCAAATACTTATAACATATAAGATTAATATTTTGTTGGATTTACACAACTTTGTCATAGTGAATAGAATCATTATATATATATATATATATTGAATTTTTACTAAAATGAAAAGTTCTTTAACATTGATTACTGAAATAATGAAACTAAAACTTTTTAATTGTTTTTTGTATGTATACATCTGGATGATACACATTTTTTGAAAACTTTTATGTTTTCATTAACTCATACAAATTTTAACTTTTTTATCTAGATCTAGCTTTAATGTGTATAATGAATTCAACAATCTACAAATAGACTTTATTTTAAAATTTTTCTCAAAACAAACTAGTTGTCTAATGTATATTTTTACCCTAAAGGTTCATATAGTGATCACATATCGTAGCAAATGCACGTATCTGTTGAATTATAACAAACTTTTTTAAACATGATGGATTTTTGTTCTAACCACACATTTATTTTGCTTGAAACTTATAATTGTCAAATTGTTTTTGAGGATTGTTTTTATCATCACC